TTGAGATAGCATTAACTACCTCCTCGCTTAGCGAATTCCAATTATCAACTACTCTTACACTGAAAAAGTATGTGATTACCTAATTGTGTTTACGGGAAAGAACCCAAAGCTCGTATCTTCCCGTCTCCTGATCGGTTCCATTTTGTACTTAGTGATACTTATTATACTTGTCCTTAAAACTATGGATTGAGATAACATTAACTACCTCCTCGCTTAGCCAATTCCAATTATCAACTACTTTTACACTGAAAAAAAGTATGTGATTACCTAATTGTGTTTACGGGAAAGAGCCCAAAGCTCGTATATTCCCGTCTCCTGATCGGTTCCATTTTGTACTTAGTGATACTTATTATACTTGTCCTTAAAACTATGGATTGAGATAGCATTAACTACCTCCTCGCTTAGCCAATTCCAATTATCAACTACTCTTACACTGAAAAAGTATGTGATTACCTAATTTTGTTTACGGGAAAGAGCCCAAAGCTCATATCTTCCCGTCTGGTGATCGGTTCCATTTTGTACTTAATGATACTTATACCTGTCCTTAAAACTATGGATTGAGATAGTATTAATTACCTCCTCGCTTAGCGAATTCCAATTATCAACTACTCTTACACTGAAAAAGTATGTGTGTGTGTGTGTGTGTGCGTGTGTGTATGTGTTTTAACCTCTAATGTCCAGAGAGGCTAATGACAAACATCGACCCCATACGATCTGGGGAAAGCTCTAAAGAAAGAAACATGACTAGTTTACGTACGCAAAAATATTTCATCTCACCCCGTGAAATGGTTAGGACATCAATCTCCCCCCTTGTTTGGTAGCATCTGTCAACTCAGCAGGTTCAGAGTGTACACCATTAAGTCAGGATCAGGGTATGATAATTTAAGAAATAATTTTAACTGTGAAAGTTTGGACTTTAAAAATACGTAAAATATTTTATTTTATATATAAAACTCTCAAATTACATGGAATATGAATATAAATTGATAAAAATTCACCACATATTGTTAGTCCGATGGGCCAGGGATTTTAATATGAAAAAAACACTTTATCCGGGTGAATGTCCGTTGGTCTAGGGGTAAGATACGTGCTCAGTGTGCACGTGACCCAGGTTCGAGTTCTGGACGGACTATAGTAAATTTTGTTTTTCCAGAATCATTACATAGTTTATATTATTATATATATATATAAATTGAGAAAAACATTACATAAATATACAATTTTAAATATTTATCAAACAATAAAGTCACTTGAACTGAAAAAACATACATGCGTTCTTCTTCGTGATGAGATACGTATGATACGTATTATAGGAGTGAGCTGGGAGTAGATGCCAGATAGCGCAAGATAGACTAAGTATATTTTTAACTCAATTTTAATATCCTGATTCTCTAATAACTCCATTATACTTTTTCCCCTTACATCTATATATCACTCTTGTTCCATTTACAGGCTCTGTGGACTGTAATTGACCTGCAACGACCTGTAAGAATATTATTAATGTCTCTGCTTGGAAGTGAGCGGGGAGTAGATGCTAGATAGCGCTAGATTATTGTAGGTAGATGAACAAAGTAGATTTTCTACTCATGTTCAATATCCTGATTCTCTAATTACTCCCTTATACTTTTTACCCCTTATATCTATATTTCATTATTGTTCCATTTACAGGCTCTGTGGACTGCAAATGACCTGCAACGACCTGTAAGAATATTATTAATGTCTCTGACGGAATATTAGTCTCTTCCGATACGATAGTGACGTCATTTCACCCCATTACCCCTGTCTCTACCCGTCCCTCCCCCCGGTCCTCTCATATTGACGGTAGAACTTACAAATTTGAACATTTATTTTATAAACATGAATTATTCTGTCTAAAATTTGTTTTTCTAATTTGAAAGATTAATATTTATTTTTTTTTACTGACCAGACTCAGTTTCATGTCATTTGAGTAGCCATAGAATGATATAACCGGAGAGTAAATTTTAAAAAAGAAAAAACTCGTTTTCATGCACATGCAGAAAAAAAAATTATCTAATATTATTATTACTGATGGGCATCTGCTGTTACCACGGGGCTGCATCTTACAGAGATAGCCCTGTGGTAGGGGCTGTAGGAGGAGCTGGCAGTTGTGAAGCGACACAGGTTGTGGAAGAGCCGGGAGGATGGGCTGTGGCACTCCAGCAGTGCCATCTGAACGGTCGCTAGCTCCCTCGTCATTGCCCATAGAACAAAGTAATCCCCCTATTTGTTTTCCTTTCTTGATGTCGGCTACCCCCCAATTAAAGGGAGAAACAGCCAAGGTATATGTATGTATGTGATTATTATTATTATTATTATTATTATTATTATTATTATTATTATTATTATTATTATTATTATAGTATTTGTCGTTATTGTTCTCGTTCTTATTATATTATTATTAATATTGTTATTATTATTATTATTATTATTATTATTATTATTCCTTTTTAAGAGCTTTGGTGGGAGTTTTAATGAATTTACTTCCATCATGTGTGTGTGAGTGTGTGTATGTGTGTGTATATGTAATTAAACTAATTAAGTGAAATTTAACATTACTCTTAATATGACGATAGAACTCATAGTTGAACTCCATCGGGAGAAGAGAGTCAAAGAAGAAGGAATTGGTAGAGAAAGACTAGGAAGAAGGAAGACGGGATGAGTAGATGAAGAAGGAGAAGGAAGATCAAGATGCAGTAGGAAGAGAAGTGGGGGAATAAGATGAAGAAAAAGGAAGACAAACAAGAAGAAGAAGGAGAAGTAGTAGTAGGAGAAGAAGAAGAAGAAGAAGAAGAGGAGGAGGAGGAGGAGGAGGAGGAGGAGGAGAAGGAAGAAGAAGAAGAAGAAGGAAGGAAGAAGAAGAAGAGAGAAGAAGAAGAAGAAGAAGAAGAAGAAGAAGAAGAAGAAGAAGGAGAAGAAGAAGAGAGAAGAAGAAGAAGAAGAAGAAGAAGAAGAAGAAGAAGAAGAAGAAGAAGAAGAAGTAGGAGGAGGAGGAGGGGGGGGCGGTGAAATAAAATGGAGAAGAAGAAAATGGAATATAAAGGAGGAGGTAGAGAGACAGGAAGAATTAAGAGAAAAATAAATAGAAGAATTGGGATAATAGAATATGATAAAACAAGAGAAGAGAAAGAAAAGACAAAAAGAAAATAATGAAGAAAATCACGACGATAATAGAAGAAAAAAATAATTTGAATGAAAGAAAATAAGACATAGAAGAAGAGAAGAAGCAGGAACCGAAAGAAGGAAAAGGAAGAATGAGATTAATAAAAAAAAAAAAAGAGGACGAAGATGGAAGAAAACATGGAAGAAAAACAAGAGAAAGAAAATAAAGAAAGAATATAAAGAAGACAATCATGGCGAAAATAGAAGAAAAAAATAATTTGAATGAAAGAAAATAAGACATAGAAGAAGAGAAGAAGCAGGAACCGAAAGAAGGAAAAGGAAAAATAAGATTAATAATAAAAAAAAAATAACGAAGATGGAAGAAAACATGGAAGAAAACAAATAATGGTGGAGCTCTTCCAGAGCCTAAACTTGTCAATATATTCCATCGTAATTAGTGTACTGGGAATATAATTGTAAAATTTACTTTAATTAGTTAGAAATGGAAAGTTTATCTATTGGTACTTTGGACTGATAATGAGGAAAAGTCATATTCGTTATTTCCGTTGCCTCTAAGTGCCATTAATTAGGGAAATTTGAGAAGTTAAATGTTTAATAGAGGTTAGGTAATATTTATATTTATTTATATATATAAATTATATTTGCTCCTTGCTGGGACTCGAACCTAAGACACCTAATTCTTGTGCTAAGTCGCTACCTGCTACACCATGGAAGGTCCTAAAGAAAAATCGAACCTCGCAGCTTACTGCTCTACTAGGGAATGAACTCATTCTTTCTGAACGCTTTTTGTTCATATTACAGCTTCTTCCCAACCTCACTCGTGGCTTCGTTTTCTCATTTAATTCAAATTTCATGCTATATAGGCACCAATGATAATGAAATATGCACAATAACATTTGTGAAAACATGAACTAGGGGCAAAATATGAGTCGTGCTTTCACATATGTTAATGCGTTTATTTGATTTTTATTGGCGCCTATATAGACTGAGATTTGAATTAAATGCGAAAACGAAGCCACGAGTTAGGTTGGGGAGAGGCTGCAATAATAACAAAAGGCATTTAGAGAGAAGGCGTTCGTTCCCTAGCTTAGCAGTTAGCTGTGAGGTTTGCTTCTTCTTGTAGACCAGTGGATCTTAACATTTTTTTTCTTGTATGTAGCGCCCATTTCAACTTGTTGCATAGCCCAATACCCCCCTTCATTTAGGAAAGGCAGAAAATGTGATTACATTTTCTTAATGTGGATGACAAAATAATTTTTAAACGTAATCGTTTTCAACATGTGTTTTCTGTCAGTGTTTAGCTTTTGTTTTATTTAAGTAAATATAACAGCCCTGTCATGTATAATATAATTGCTATTGAAGTAAAAAAATTTAATTTTATTTGTTAGCTCACCGTCCCCCACTCAGTGCCCCCAAGAACTTAATGCCCCCTTCATCAAGCTCGGCTCCCCCCAGGGAGAGCTATCGCCCAGGTTAAGAACCATTTTTTTAGACCTTGGTGTAGTTGGCATACTAATTATGTCTTAGGTTCACCTCCTGTCCAGGGGCAAAATATGATTCATGTTTTCATGAAGAATGACCAATGCACGTATAGAGAGATGCTTCATCTCACGTGCAGTGTCGCCCCTTGTGTGGTAGCATCTGTCGGCTCAGCAGGTTAAGAGAGTACAGTATTATGTTGAGTCTGCTAGGAAGTAGAACGTTATTTTACAATATTTTCAGACTAATTTGAAAAATAAATTCAGTGGGAAAGTTGGGACTATAAAAATATATAAATATTTTAATTTATATGGAAAGATACTTCAAAATTACATGGAATATTAATGTTGAAAAGATAGAAATTCAACTTAGATTTTAAGTGTCCGTTGGTCTAGGGGTACGACACGCGCTCTGTGTGCACGTGACCCAGGTTCGAGTCCTGGACGGACTATGATCAATATTTTCTCTTAAACGGATGCATCTTACCTTGTTCATTATTCTATATGTAAAGTGAGCAAAACATAACGTTAATATGCAGTTCTAATCATATTTATTTCCAAAATTAGAGTCACTTAAACACGAATATTGTTCGTACGTTTCCTAGTAGAAGGGTCCCAGGTGCCAACTAGTAAATATTGTACCTTTTACGAGACACCTGTAACTGGGCGGAGAGTAGTTGCCAGATAGCGCAAGATTAGGTTCTTCCCGAGGTGCTACTGACCGAGAGTAGTTGCCAGATAGCGCAAGATTAGGTTCTTCCCGAGGCGAGTAAAACGTTATCTCTGTATACGTTTACGGAAGAGCTTAATTTTCAACTGATTTTTTCAGTATTTTAATTCTCTAATAATTCCCTTTTATAACCCTTAAATATATTTTGTTTCTTGCCCCATTCCAAGGCTCTCTGGCCTGCAAATGACCGACAACCAAATGTCAGCATTTTTGTGTGTGACCTTGACAAAATATTTCAGTCTCAGCTGATACGTTTAAGTATGTGATTACCTAATTGCGTTTACGGGAAAGAGCCCAAAGCTCGTGTGTGTGTGTGTGTGTGTTCAAACTCACCTTTTCAACATTTTCATCAACGCTCCGTGGTCACATTTTCCATTTGTTGGTTCATATTTAATTTTTAATTGAACTAATATCCAAACCGTATGCTCGTATATGTAATGATTCAAACAAGAAACTATTATTTTTTATTATTATTATATATGTATTTATTTTTATTTATTTGTAAATATTTTACTATTAGATATTTCAGAGAGGCATTTTTGCCCTGTCGAGACCCAAGCTCTTTAAGAAACTGTTTTCCATAGACCACACACATCCAGTGACCAACTAACTTCCACTTAATTTAATTGACTTCTCCAGCTGTTATCCCTCAAATTGCTAGTTTTTAAATACCTACATGTATAATGATGGACTCAGATATATTGTTGAGTTGACAGAGGTTACGAATTAAAGGGAAAAAGTTTTACTTCAATGGTGTAAAGCTCCTATGTTTTGGAGCATTTATTTATATTCTTTTTACTGTGTTGTAAAAGTCAACTGCATGGGGTGAAATAAGGGGACTGGGAATTATCCAGGCATTTGAGGGGGTTCTGGTAGGGAATCTGCAACCAGAAAGAGTAACTAGGTCTGTTACTGTGCATGGTTTTGGAACAAGTGAGAGTAAAAGAGAATATTTGTGTAAAAAATATAGATGTGTTAGCTGAAGCAAATGAATAGGTGTATGGTTTGACTCGGCCATCCTCTTAAAAATGAATTCATGAACCTTGAATAAAGATATAACTTAAATAACATTAGCTGCAATGTTAGTCAAAGACCCGATTTCGTAAACAGTGCAACCCTAGGATACCATATTGTTAGTTAGCTAGACACACACTAATGGATTTCATAAACGCATCTGACGCGGTTCTGTGTACGGGATCCTAGCCATACACAGAACCGCGTCAGATGCGTTTATGAAATCCATTTGTGTGTCTAGCTCACTAACAATATGGTATCCTAGGTTTTACACTGTTTAAGAAATCGGGCCAAAGTCATATGGTCTACACTTGTGACCGCAGAAAAGTATTTGCTATTTGGTTTCTATATACCAAAATGTAAATGATTAATTGATTCGGTTTTACGTCACGGACTCCCATTTCTACCAAGGGCTAGGACGATTGCCTTCTTGCGAAGTATTTCTGAAAATAAATGTTATTAACACTCGTTGTTACTATGCATTTAAGAATCTCTCTCTCTCTCTCTCTCTCTCTCTCTCTCTCTCTCTCTCTCTCTCTCTCTCTCTCTCTCTCTCTCTCTCTCTCTCTCTCTCTCTCTCTCTCTCTCTCTCTCTCTCTCTTCCTCCAATAAGAATCCCTTTTCTTCACTGATGACGTAAGCAATCCAAGGTACTGTCAGACATGATTAAATTGTTTGAGGCTGTTTGCTCAGTAGTCACTCTAAAGTGTGATTACCTAATTGTGTTTACGGGAAAGAGCTCAAAGCTCATATCTTCCCGTCTCGTGATCGGTTCCATTTTGTACTTAGTGATACTTATACCTGTCCTTAAAACTATGGATTGAGATAGTATTAACTACCTCCTCGCTTAGCGAATTCCAAGTATCAACTACTCTTACACTGAAAAAGTATTTCCTTACATCCTGCAAAGAAGTTTTCTTACGAAGCTTCAAACTATGACCTCTAGTTCTAGAGCCAGCCATATCAAAATATCGATCCCTATCCACTCTATCATAACCATGAAGGAATTTAAAGACTGTCACCATATCCCCCCTCACTCTTCTAGCTTCCAGTGATGGTAAGTCTAATTCCCTCAGCCTCTCATCATAACTGAGATTGCGTATTTCTGGCACCAGTTTCATGGCATGTCTTTGAACTTTTTCAAGCTTAGCTATGTGCTTTTTCAAGTGCGGATTCCAAAAGGGGGCTGCATATTCGAGTTTGGGCCTCACATAGGTTACTTAAATATTTCTGAACATTTCCTTGTCCATGTGCCTGAAGGCTACCCTTACATTTGATAAGAATGCATATGCTGCCCTTACTATGCCATTTATATGTATTTCTGAGACAAATCTGCCAGTATGTTTACTCCTGGATCTCTCTCATGTTCTGTCTCTTGTGTGTGTGAGTGTGTGTACTTGAGAGTTTTACATCTGAAAACCGGTGTTTTATTGACGGTGAGTTAGTTTTTGGTGGTGTTTCTTTTAGTTTTACTAGGATTTTTATAATAAAACTGGGTTAGGATTCGTTTTATGCACTACTCCATAACCTAAAATTTGTGTTAGGTTAGTTAAGTTTATTTGGTTAGATTAGAAGTGGTGCATAAAACGAAACTTTTAGTTTTTTAAGGTTTTTTATATCAAAACAGGGTTAAGATTTGTTTTATGCACTACTCCATAACTTAAAATTTGTGTTAGGTTAGTTAAGTTTATTTGGTTAGATTAGAAGTGGTGCATAAAACGAAACTTTTAGTTTTTTAAGGTTTTTATATTAAAGCATGATTAAGATTCGTTTTATGCACCCTTCCATTATTTAAAATTTGTGTTAGGTTAAAGTTTGTTTGATTAGATTAGAAAAGGTGCATAAAACGAAATTTGTATTTTTTTTAGGGTTTTTATATTCAAACAGGGCAAAGATTCGTTTTATGCACCCTTCCATGACTTAAAATTTGTGTTAGGTTAAAGTTTGTTTGGTTAGATTAGAAAAGGTGCATAAAACGAAATTTGTATTTTTTTAGGGTTTTTATATTCAAACAGGGCAAAGATTCGTTTTATGCACCCTTCCATTATTTAAAATTTGTGTTAGGTTAAAGTTTGTTTGGTTAGATTAGAATAGGTGCATAAAACGAAATTTGTAATTTTTTAGGATTTTTATATTCAAACAGGGCAAAGATTCATTTTATGCACTCTTCCATTATTTAAAATTTGTGTTAGGTTAAAGTTTGTTTGATTAGATTAGAAGAGGTGCATAAAACGAAATTTGTATTTTTTTTGGATTTTTATATTCAAACAGGGCGAAGATTTGTTTTATGCACCCTTCCATGACTTAAAATTTGTGTTAGGTTAGGTTAAAGTTTGTCTGATTAGATTAGAAGAGGTTTATAAAACGAAACTTTGTTTTTAAGGATTTTTTTTTTTATTAAAACGGTTAAGATTCGTTTTATGCACCCCTCCATGACTTAAAATTTGTGTTAGGTTAGGTTAAAGTTTGTTTGATTGGATTAGCAGAGGTGCATAAAACGAAACTTGTATTTTTTTTAGGATTTTTTTTATTAAGACAGGGTAATGATTCGTTTTATGAACCCCTCCATGACTTAATATTTGTGTCAGGTTAGGTTTAAGTTTGTTTGGTTAGATTAGAAGAGGTGAATAAAACGAAACTTTGTTTTTAGGATTTTGTTTTATTAAAGGGGTTAAGATTCGTTTTATGCACCCCTCCATGACTTAATATTTGTTTTAGGTTAGGTTAAAGTTTGTTTGGTTACATTAGTGTAGGTGAATAAAATGAAACTGTAACTATGGGTTAAGATTCGTTTTATGCACACTTCTCCAACTTAAGAGTTGAGTTAGATTTGGTTAACTGGATTAATGAGAATTAGTCTGGATTAGTTGGATTAGTCTGGATTAATTAGGATTACCTGGATTAGTTTAAAATAAAAACTACTAAATGTCACGTGGTTTTCATCATGTGTTTTTGGATACCCGTAAATATCATGTACAATCTGGTAAAGAGTTCACTGGGTTTAACCCTTAATGATTACTATGAACTATGACTAGTTAGGGTAAGCTAGTTCACAATAATCAAAGTGTCCTAAAATAAACCATTGCGGATCTTGTAAAAATAAGTAACCCCCAGAACCTCATGTAAAGTTAAATAACCCCGGAAACGGTAAGGTTGTGTTAGGTTTGGTAAGGTTAGGTAAGGTACGGTTAGGTTAAGTTAGATTGCTTTTATACTGAAGAAAATTATTTGTCATAATTTCTCATGGACTCCCATGTATAAAAGTTGGAGTCATAAATTAGAACTTGCTTATTGCATTGTTACTTTGGGTTAGGTTAGGTTGGGTTGGGTTTGGTCTCGTTTACCTACATTATCTATGTAGATGTGTAGGTTACTTCACCCGTCAATATCCAATGGAAAATTTTATTTACCGTCATTTTCCTTCCCAAATATTGGAAAACATTGTAAAAAAAAAAATAAGTATGTTCACACGTACACACACAATCCAGTCGCTAAGCTACATTTGGTAAGGCCTCTCTATATATCTTATCCCCTCACATCTGACAAGTCACAACACTCCCCATCTCTATTTATCATTACTTTTTGTATTTTTCTAGCCTAGGCCCGATGAGGGCAGATTATTATTATTTTTTTTTTCGTCCTTGTCACCATCAAATTGCCTTTATTTTCCATATGCTTGAGTCTCTACTAGGAAATAATCGCAGTGCG